TTAGCAGGCCAATGCTCAAACCACTGAGCTATCCCTCCCCCTAAGGCCTAAGGCCTTTGTCTGTGGCCATATTAGGAGAGCAGCAGCCATGAGCTAAGAAGCAGAAAGTCACATCCCATCTAAATTACATTAAAACAATGTAATACCAGGCTGTTAAAAAGGAGACCTCGTCCTAATAGCCCCCACTATCACTAGATAAAGAAACAGATTTTAAAATGATTAAAGAAAACTTAGTTCGATAGCATCCTGTCTGTCAAGAAACCACTTATCAATAGTTGTGGTTGTGAAATCCTCATTTCTTTATTGTTTTGTCTTTACAGTCCCCAAGGCTGGCTCTAGGCACCAGCAAAGCAAGCACATGCTTGGGGCGACCCATTTGCAGGAATGGGACCTGCTCTCGGGGCAGGGAGGGGTGTTGTCTATGCTAGGATGCAGGTTTCTGTCTCTTTCATTGTACAATCTGTGTGTAAACAAGGCAAGTGGTGGTTTAACTGGTCAAGAAGAATTCTGTGGGCTGGGGGGTGTTTGGGAAGGTTATCGGTCACCTTGAGTAGCTACACTGAGGTGAAAGCGTCACTTGCCTCATCTTCACTAGGACTGTATAATGAGATCACTGCCTCGTGTTTGCTATCACATTGACAAAAACACCCTTTCTCCTATGGTGGACATGAGCTAAAAGATTGGATCTAAAGGGATCTAAAGTGGAAAGGGAGACACTCCATCCTCGGCTAGTGCTGTGACTTTTTCTGTGAGCTTCTAATTTAAATGACTGGGGGTAAGATTTATGAGGGGACTCAGTTGCATTGATGCACAATGTTGCAATGCCTAATTGTTAGTTGCCTAGAACATCACAAGAGGAACACTCTGATCCACAGAGCCTGACTTAGATGCCTAGTCTCCCTATAAGATGAACGGAGAGAGACAGGTGCCTTACAATACCATCCACAAGAGCCAGCATGCTTGGTGGGAAGCCATCTAAAATAGCCAATGGGAGATGTGAATGTCCTAAGCCCTGCCCCTCTCGAAGATAAGCAGCTAAGTCTGGGGCCTGGTCTACACTACGGGTTTAGGTCGACTTTAGCAGCGTTAAACCGAATTAAGCCTGGACACGTCCACACAACGAAGCCCTTTCTTTCGATTTAAAGGGTCCTTTAAACCGGTTTCTTTACACCACCTCCGACGAGGGGATTAGCGATAAAATCAGCCTTTGCGGGTCGGAATTGGGGTAGTGTGGACGGAATTCGACGTTATTGGCCTCCGGGAGCTATCCCACAGTGCTTCATTGTGACCGCTCTGGACAGCACTCTCAACTCAGATGCACTGACCAGGTAGACAGGAAAAGACCCGCGAAGGTTTGAATTTCGATTTCCTGTTTGCCCAGCGTGGAG